TACTACGACTACTACTACTACGACTACGACCTGCACTGCTACTACTACTACTACTACTACTACTACTACTTCTTCTACGACTTCTACTACGACTACTACTACTACTACTACTACTACTACTACTACTACTACTACTACTACTACTACTACTACTACTACTACTACTACTACTACTACTACTACTACTACTACTACTACTACTACTACTACTACTATACTACTACTACTACTACTACTACTACTACTACTACTACTACTACTACTACTACTACTACTACTACTACTACTACTACTACTACTACTACTACTACTACTACTACTACTACTACTACTACTACTACTACTCATCCGCCACTTTCTTGCCCTCCCTCCTCCCTCCTCCTCTTCCCCCTCGTCCGCCTATTTCCCCCCCTCCCTCCTCCCTCCTCCGCCTCCCCCACGTCTTCCTCATCACTCCTCCTCCCTCCTCCCCCTCCCCCTCCCCCACATCCCCACCTCCACCACCTCCTCCTCCTCCTCGTCTGTTGATTGTGATGTTGTTGGTGCGCGCGAGCACGGTTGTGTGGATTTGCATGTGAATGCGCGTCGTTGTGACCTTTTGGGGGTTTGGTCGTGCAGATGCACATGTTGGAGTGTGTGAGTGTGTGTTTGTGCGTGTATGGTTGTGTGTGGACATGTGGTACTGCGGTGGTATGTCGTTCGCCAGTTGCAGTATGTGAATGTGTGTATGCGCATGCGGTTGCGCGTTTGCGCGCTTGTGCGTATACCTGTACTGTGTGAGCACAGACGTCCATGCGCGTGTATCCCTTTGCATTGCACATAATTCGGCGCTTTCCGCGTGCATCCGCTCCTGCGGTGTTTTTCGTGCTGGCGACTGCCCCCATCCAGCCCAGCCATCTGCAACGCCGGGTGGCAATTCGCCCTTGTGTGACCCCAACTTAGCGCGTCGCGACGGTGTCGTCACCTCGCCGATGGAAGAACAAGTGGTTCGTGCGCGTGCGCATGCATACGTGCTGACGGCGTACTGATGCTGCTCGGCTTTGTGTATGCGCGCCCGCAGGGCGCGCAAAAGCCAACGAAAAAAACAAATCAAGTCCCCCGTCCCGTCCTCACGATGTGGCCGTGCAGCATGCCAACGTTCTCCTGGCGGCGCACTCTACACCAGATCACTGCCACTCTCAAACAATTCGCCATCCTTATCACTTTCCCTGTTCTCCGTCCTCATCGCCATGCCAGTCCTCCTCACTCATCCTCCTCCTGCCCCGCCTCCGCCCCGCCCTCATCTGCCTCCTCCTCCTCTTCAAAGTCCGCCTCGTCCTAATCTCCTGCTTATGCGGACCACGTCGCTGGGCCTCGCTTGGACGCTTCCCTGTGTACGAGTTCCACGCCAAGGGGGTCCTCCTCTTGCCCTCGTCTCCTCCTCCTCCTCCTCCTCCTCCTCCTCCTCCTCCTCCGCCCTAGTGAGAAAGCAGGGCTGTAGCACAACAAATCGCAGGGGATTTTGGCAATAGCGCATAGATCACCCCAGTAGGTGCTCTGACATTGCCCCCTTATGCGGATGCCCTGGCCTGTCCTGTCCTCATCCTCCTGCTCCTCCTCCGCCTACAACTCCTCTCCTTATCCCCTCCTCTCATCCCACTCCCCTCCACCTTATCGGATACTCTGAAGCGCAAGCGGCGCGCCGCGCGCGGTGTGATCTCTGCGCCGTTTTGGTACCTCCGATCCTCCTCCTGCCTCTGCTGCTGGGGATCTACTGACATGGGTCGATGCAAACCCGGATCAATCAGGCTCTGCAAGATCCTGCACGCCAGTCTGGGTCGAAATAACCCTGGCCCTGCAGTATCCTGCAAGATCCGGCGCTCTGGCTGACCCCCGTTTGCATCGACCCCCGTCGCAAAGCTCCCGATGCTACTCCTTCTGGCTGCACCCAGAGCCCCGAGCACCCCAGGGCACCGTCAGACGGTCGCGGCTCGCCTCTCTTGGGGCCAGCGTTAGGTTGGGCTTGTCCCCCCACGGGGGATTTTGGACGAAAAAAAAAAACACTCGAAAAATTGTCAAAAGGTGCCCAACAATACTCAAACAATAGTCCACAGACTATTTGTTTTACTATTTTTGAATATTCCCCCTGTAGAGGGACAGGCCTGACATAAGGCCAGCGGGAAAGCGCAAAGCGCCTCCACAGTGAAGGTGAGAGCGGCCGCCGCCACGGGCGCGCGCGGCCAAGGCAGCACGCAAACTGCAGTGCTGGAAAGAGTCGGGCATTACCAGAAAGGTGCCCCTGGCCCAGGGTGCCCCCAGCTTTTCGCTCCATGTTGAAGCCCCTGTAGGGGCACAATAAGTGACATGAGCATAAAAACTCGGCGGTCCGCGCGGAATTCTCGGACCTCCGAGTGTTCATGTTTATGTCACTTGTTGCTCCCCTACCCTGGGCCCCTGGGCCCCGCGAAAAGTGCTCTGAACGCCGTGGGGGCCTCCTTGGAAATCCTGGGGGGCAACCTGGGCCGGGGGCACTCATAGCAACACCCGAGAGAGGCGAGGCCAGGATGCGGACAGAGCAGGGCCTCCGACGTCGTGTTCGTCCAGTGCCCGCGCTGTCCGACACACGCCTCGCCCGCCACATGACGCCTCCGGAGGGCCACCCCCGAGATTGCCTGCGATCGACGCGCCCTGCTTAGGGGACGAAGGGCGGCATGGAAACCCCCGACCCTGCCAGCTCCTCAACACACAACTCCTCCACCTGCCCCTCCTCCTCTTTCGGCCTCCAGCTCCTCCTTCACAACCTCCTCAGCCAATTCCTCGTTTCCCTCAGCCTCCTCGTCAGCCTCCGTCTCCTCCTCTGTGACGGGACGGCCAGATATCCTGGCCCATCCACGTGGATATCTGGCAAAACATCCTCCTTTTCCTCCTCCTTTTCCTCCTGCTGCCGCTCCCCATCCTCATCGTCATCATCACCAGCATCATCACCAACATCATGGTCGTCATCATCATCATCATCATCATCATCATCATCATCATCATCATCATCATCATCATCATCATCATCATCATCAGCAGCATTATCAGCTTCATATGCACCATAATCATCATCATCATCATCATCATCATCATCATCATCATCATCATCATCATCATCATCATCATCAACAGCATCATCATCATCATCATCATCATCATCATCATCATCATCATCATCACCACCATCATCATCATCATCATCATCATCAGCATCATCATCATCATCGTCATCAGCATCAGCATCATCATCATCATCAGCATCATCATCATCATCATCATCATCATCATCAGCATGATCAGCATGATCATATTCATCATCATCATCATCATCAGCATCATCATCAGCATCATCATCATCTGCATCGCAAGCATCATCATCATCATCATCATCATCATCATCATCATCATCATCATCATCACCACCATCATCATCATCAGCGTCAGCCTCATAAACATCATCATCGTAACCCTCATCGTCTCCTCCTCTCGCTGGGATGGAACACGTATGCTTCCCCGCTGAAGCCTTTCGTCATACGTGTAAATTGGTTCACTTGGGGCCGCCAGGGGTTTCAACGTATAGGCGGAGGTCAACAAAGAAAACGTACGATGGGAGGCCCTCCTGCTGCGCACTGTTCAGCATTATTATCATCATCCTTTCCTCCCTCTCGCGCGCAAGCGGGGGATGAGGAGGACGAGAAGCAGCTGGAGGAGACCGAGGCAGAGGCCGAGGCTGAGGACGAGTACGTAGCAGCAGGAGGGAAGAAGGGAACAGGGAAGGAAGGCGCAGGGAAGGAGGGAAGAGCGACTGATGCTGATGAGGAGGAGGAGGACGAGGAGGAGGATACGATACGATACTAAAGCACCTAGGGCCAGTTCCACCACTTATAATTCGATGCAGTGCAACGCTCGCACTGCACAACGTAGATAAGGAGGCTTCGCGAATCAGCAAACTGATACTCACTCAAACAGCGAAACTGTCAAACCCTGTGCGGCAAACAAGCCAACCTCTCAGATCACGCGAGACGTGGCCGTGCGGCGGCCACACAACCGCTAGGCCGCGAGGATCGCCTTCGGCGAAGAGCAGCCCCGCGGCGACCCCGCTGGCACAAACAGCACCTCAGGACTCGTTGTCTCCCCGCCCACCCACCCCATCACGACGACGACGACTCCCCCCTCTCAGTTTCTACACAGAGTGCCACCTAAAAATCCGTACCTGCTGGCCGTGGCATACACCCTCGCGATATCAACTCACTAAACTGATTACTAATGGCAAAAGGCCCCAGGCACGTTCACCTCCTCATGCGGGCCGGAAGACACGCGACCTGGCGTTCAAACGGGCCTGTCGGCGCAGACCCCATGAGCACCGCCCCCTGGAGATCCGCCAAAACCACGTCCATGTTTCCCAAGATAACCTGGGCCTCGAGGTTTAACCAGAGCGCGATCTGCAATTTGGCCGTGTCCCCCATTTCGAGCCAATCACCCTCGGCGCACGGATCGCGAGGTGAAGAACGAGCGAAGCCACGAGCGGAGAACTCATGTCTTCCAACGGCTTCTCGAAAAAAAGCTTTGACCTATCCAGGATGGCATGCGTACCCATCCTCAACATAACCCCGGTCGTCATGAAAAAAAAGGCGACGGACGGCGGTCCTGTCGCCGAGAGGTCCACCTCCTTGCCCTCCGCCTTGCATTCGTGGAGCTTATTCCCGCTGTCGGCGTGGAACTTATTAGCTGCACCCCGCTCGTGTGGGAATACCTCGCTCGAGCAATCTCTGACCTTCCACTCGCTTGACAGTAAGCGGCTGCTTGAGACGCTCAACGAGAGCTGCAAGTATGATCCCATGTCCCATTTCACCTCATCGTACGCATCCCCTTTGGATGCCCACCACTCCTGTGAAACCTTCCGCTCGAGATCCATAGCGAAAACCACTCGGCCATGTTCTTGTAGAAGGTCAAGATGTCTAGCTGCATGAGTGCACTTCAGCCGACTACCATGACGAACGAGGGTGCCCTTATGCTTGACCATCTTGGTCGGCGCAAAAGGCAATACGACGTGATCAATCATGCTGGTGTTGCCCAGAGCGTCGTATAACGTGTGGGCGACGCGATCCTGCGAGTAGGTCGAACACGGCCCGCTTTCCTCCATGAACTCACTCCTCCGATGTCCTGCGCACCATCGATGACATTCCTGTGCCACGTCCAAACCAACAGACTGGTCGCCCACGTACTGCAACTGTCCATCTATCTCTGCGGGACCCATTCCGTCATTCTCATCATTCACAAAGAAAACTATCGCCGAGAGAAGTGCCTGGCAAATAATCCGCGACACCCAACAACGGATTCCTTTCACAACAAGGAAGATAACCCAATGGCAACTGATGAACCAACGACTTCACTGCTGAGCCATGGAACCTGGAAAAAATATATTCATCACGCGGTCTTGAAGTGTAGATGCTGGCGTTTTAATGGTTCGAACACATCGTGGCCATCTTTGTGGCAGTATGAAAACGCCTGCGCTCTTGTTCCTGAAGCTGGTTGTGTTCCTTCCCTGCTGCTAGCCAGCAGTCACGCTCAAGAAGAGAGTACGGTGCCAAACATGTGTGTGCGTGGCATCAAAGCAGGCGCACGGCCTCGGACCAGAACGGCGGCGCTGGAGGAGGAGGAGGAGGGAAAGGAAGAGGAGGGGGGGAGGAGAAGGAGGAGGAGGAGGAGGAGGAGGAGGAGGAGGAGGAGGGGGGAGGGAGAAGAGGACCTTCCGCGAAGAAGGCAACGACGACGACGACGACGCCCCGCCTGGATGCGGTAGATACCCTCTCGCCGCAGCCAGTCGAACTCCTCGTCGTTGGCGGCCTCCGGGAGCAGGAATCGCACGGCCTGGGCGCGACGGGGGGGAGCGGCGCCTTCGGGAGGTCTCCCCGCCCTCCCCGTCCTTCTCGGCCGTGGGTCCTTCGCCCCCGATTGCCTCCGCCGTTTTCTGCACGGCCCTCGAGGGGGAGGGCGAAGTCGTGAGGTGGAACGTGAGGCGGGGGCGTCCTCGTCGTCGTCGCCGTCGTCGTCGTCGTCGTCGCCGTCGCCGTCGTCGTCGTCCTCGACGTCGTAGTCGTCGTCGTCGTCGCGTCGTCGTCGTCGTCCTCGACGTCGTCGCCGTCGTCGTCGTCGGCGAAGCAATCGACTCGGGGGGGAGGACATCGACCTGCAGTCGACCTGCATCGACAGGCCCAGAGCAGCGAAGCCGCGCGGTCCTGGGCAGGGTGGCGTGTGTCAGGCCCCCGTCGCCGATCCCTGGGCGATCGGGGGCCGAGGCGTCCCCCCTGAGCCGGTCCCCCCTCCTCCTCCTCCCCCTCCTCCTCCTCCTCCTCCTCCTCCTCCTCCTCCTCCTCCTCCTCCTCCTCCTCCTCCTCCCTCCCTCCTCCTCCCCTCCTCCCCCCTCCCTCCTCCCTCCTCCTCCTCCTCCTCCTCCTCCTCCTCCGCTTCCTCCGCTTCCTCCTCCTCCTCCTCCGAGGAGGAGGACGGAGTCGATGAGGGGGGAAAGGGCCGGCTCTCGAGCACCGCAGCAGATGTGCCGAGATTTCGCTTCGTCCCCAGGCACTTCGCGTGCAGTGTGTGGGCCTGCACAGTCACCGGCTGCTGCTTCTTCGTACCGTATCCTATCAGCATCACGGATCGTTATCCTTGCGGCGTTCTGCTTGCCATGCTCCAGCCCGCTGGGCCAACCACCAAGGGAGGCGGGGCACGGAGGCAGGGCGGCTTCGTTTCACACCAGTCGCAGGCCCGACTGCGGCGGAGGCTTCGCAGGAGGATGCCATTGTTGAGGGACGCGGGGGCTCTCGAATCGGCAGAGCCTCTTAATTTTGTTGGAAATGGTCGAGGCCCTGGATCACGGGGCTTGTGCCCATCACGACTTCAGGACTTGCTCCAGACCCTGAACTGGGCCCGCCAACCGTTTTTTTTATATACGAACGAACAAACGAACGACCCCCGCTGCGAACACCGTCTGGGCCTAGCTGAGACCAGGTGGGCGAGGCCGTGGCCTCAGGGATCTGGTGCGTCTGAACAACATGCAATGCGAGATACATTTAAAGATAATAGAGGAGGGAGGGGGAGAGGTCCTTGGAGTCGGTGCCTGCGAGGAGCTCGGCATGAACGTGCGCGTCTGTGTGGGAGGGAGGCGGGCCGCGATCGGTTAGGGCGCCCAAGATGGCCAAAGATGGCTCCAAGTGGGCGTCCGATGCTTGGAGATGGCTCAATATGGCCGACGATGGTTCAAGATAGCGTGCGACTTCCCTCCAAGAGGCCGGCGAGGGCCATAAGACGGTTCCAAGTGCTCTCTGAGCCCCCTCAGGATCCCCCCAAGAGGCCAGCACCCTTCAAAAACCTCAGGACGATCAATGGTTGTTGCCTTCTCTCCGTTTCGCTTCCGATGCGCTGTTGAAGCCTCAAGATGACCCCAAGATGGCCCCAGAGAGGCCCAAGTGGGGCCCAATAGGCTACCAAAACGGTCCCAACAGCGCCCAAGACCGGCCCAAAAGCGCCCCGAGAAACGATTATGATGGCCCCAAGAAAGGGGGGGGGGGGCGGGCAAATCGGGGACCCCCCTTTTTGATCGATGGCCTTCAAGATGGCCCCAAGAAGCCCTCCAGGGATCCAAAGGCACCCCCAAGAGGGCTCCAAGAGGGCCCCAAGAGGGGCCCCAAGACCCCCGAAAAGAGCCTCAAGATAACCCCAGGATCCCCCAAAAGAGCCACAAGAAAGCTCCAAAAGGCGATTTGAGCGCTCTGTTCTCGTCCTCGTTGTCCTCATCCTCCTCATTCTCCTACTCATCGTCCTCGTCCTTGCCATCATCGTCTTCCGTTTCCTGCTCCTCCTCGTCCTCGTCGTCGTGATCGCCGGCGTCTTCTTCGTCCTCCTCTTCCTCCTCCTCGTCCTCCTGCTCTTCCTCCGTCTCCTCCTCCTCCTCCTCCTCCTCCTCGCCCCCACGCGGGCCCCAGGCATGGCTCGAAGAGGCCCTCAAAGGCTATCCCCTTGCTCCCACAGATCTCACTGTTCACCCAGGTCGCCCGCTTTGTTTCACTATATGCGGGTCTTCGTACCCTTTCCCGTCAGATATCGTAGGCATGTGTCCTTAATAGGCTGATGGGGATACGCGAAGCGTGGAGACTTTCAGAGGACCGCTCATCATCAACGCATGCGGCAGGACAGCGAAACATATGGTAGATCACCATCGCCGGCTCGTCTCGTCGCTGTCTCGCCGCAGCCATGCCTGACGAGCGACGCCAGGTCGCGAAATGCATCACACTGGCTGCCGTACAACTCTGTCGCCCAGGTTTGCTTAGAAAGCTTCCGCTCTATGTGTGTGCACATCCGTCTCATCATTCGTTTGTATTGCCGTCTGTCTTCGATCGTCGTGGACTGTGGAACTGGTTTTGCTCGTGCCGATATTGGGTGACTCCTGCCGGGGATGGACAGAACCCCCTTTAGTAAAGCGTGGTTTAGTGAAAACGACCTCGGGCCCAAACCTGGCGGGCGCAAGCCTGGAAAATGACGGCCGCGGCGCCCTCTCGAGAACCGAAAACGGACAAATCACTAATCGCCGTGTCAGGGTGGGAGGTCTGTCCACCCCCGATCCTGGGGTGCATGGCGCTCGTCGGCAGCGCTCGGGAATCTCCTGACCCGGGTCAATCCAGACCCGGGTCAGCAGGAAACCAAAAAAACGGCAATGCAGGAGAAAAAAACTGCAACGCAGGTCTTCGCAAACCCGGGTCAGCCAATAGGCGCGGCCGCCTCGCGGCCACGACCGGCTCGCTAACCCGGGTCAGCCAGAGGGGGTCTTCGCAGGATCCTGCAGGATCCGGTGCCCTGGCTGACCCCCGTTTGCATTGACCCCCCTCTCTTGAGTCCCGAAGCGCGTCGCTCCCGGCTCTGCCGGTGCCCGTCGCGCTGGCCTCCGCTGCAGGTAACAGGGGATGCGCCGACCCCTATCCCAGGTTTCGTGAGGTTTTCGAGAGGATAAAAAATTTGGGGCCCAACCCTGGGATATACGAGGGGGGGCGTCCATCCTCGATAGGGGTACGTCCGAATAGCCCCCTCGGGGTGTATCCCAAGATTCCCCGCCTTTTCTGAGCGGCCAAACTTTTCCGGCAGAACTCGGGGATTGGGGGAGAACAATAGCCTGCGAGCAGGCGCCCGGCACCCGCAGGGGCGCTGGGAGGCTGCACGGCGCAAGCGGGCCGCGGTGGTACGCACAGGACCGGCCTGTGCCCCGCGGCGCAGCACTCGTGGCGAAGGGAGATGGCACAGTGGCCGGGGAGACGTCCAGCCGGACTCGAGTGGACAGGACACGCGAAGGGACACAAGACCCTTGCGAGGGCCACATTGCCACGGGAATGCAGGAGGCATGGGTCGCGAGACACAGGACACAAGGGCACCCGTGATTTGGCAGGGTCGACCTACTAATCTGGGCCGACTGTACAGGATTCGGCCTGACCGAATGAAAGAACGGAGCCTTCTTTTGTTCCAAGTGAGTCTAGGAAGTCCGAAGAAACACCAGGGGGGCTCGCCGCCAATAAGGCTAGCGGAGCGCATGCAAACCAAAAGAACGACCGAGCCCCTTTTGAGAAGTAAGTGTTCCTGATTCGAGCAGGACCCTGTACAGTGGAGGCCGGTCCACAGGAGACCTTCCACAAGAAGCCCAACCCTGAGACCCCAGGGCGTCCATGGATGTTTGGTGCGGGAGCGCCACGCCTTCCATATGCACCCTGAAGGCACGCAGGGTGTTTCTTGGCATGGGTTCCCACTGTCGGGGAGACGTCAAAATTGGGTTCGGGGAGCTCGGGTTGGCATGACGGCGCCACCATGAAAATGACGAGGCCAGGTTTGAAACTTGACGCGGCTTCCCACTGCAAACGTCCCACGAAAACTGGAACGTCACACTTCAGGACGCGCTCGTCACAAAGCGTCAGTAAACCCGAAATCCAGCACACTCGAGTATTGCGTTTCCCCGATATGGGAACATCTCGCTCCCTAAACCCACTCGGCCCCAGAACCCTTTGTAGAACTAGCGTTCCTGAGGAAGCACCGCAAAGGTGGCGTCCGGGGATCAGGGCGGCAAAGACAACATGCGGCGCTGCGCCAGGTCGACCAAGGATAACGTCCCCGCCGCCGGCCAGGTAGACGTCACCACCCAAGCGTCGGAGCTGGAGTCGGATCCAGCAGTGGAGGAGGAGCTCGGGTCGTAGCCGATTTTGTTCTCGAAATCGTCGTATATCGTCGTGGCAGACAGCATGGGGCCCGTCATGGTGGAGTCGAAGGGCTCGGTGCCCTCGCCCACGTGGCCGGGACAAAAGTTGACGATTTGCCGCCCCGCGGCAGACTGATTTCGACACTGTCAGATATCGACGCCGCGCGCATCTCTGACGTGGTGGATGGTGAAAGCGGTGACAAAAACTCGAGCCTGGACGGCATGCACTACAGGCGGGTCTCCCTGCAATTTCTGGCACGAGCACCATACAGAGGGAACTGCCAAACCAAGCTGTGCGGCGTGCCAAGCTGGACGGAGGAGGCACGAGAAGGTAACCTTCAGGTCGACTTTGTGGGCGAGGCGCCCGTGCAGCCTGGACTCCGCTAGCACGCGGACGATGCGCCCTCCTCCCTGTTGGCCCCGAACCGTTTGTGAATACAGGGAGACGGCCGAAAGGCCGTTCCTGTATGGGGTCCGTTGGTAGAGGCTTCTTTTCCTAGGCACTGCACAGCAAGCAATGCCCCGAGGTCAGCTTGCCAATACCTGGGCCAATACAGCTGCGGTCGGGATGTGATAGGGAAGTGAGCGGACTTCACACACGCCGCTCGAGTGGCGCAGGGGTGCGCGGGGGCGGTGGCCTCGCACAATTAGATCGGGTCTGTCCCCCTACGGGGGGACTTTGGACGGAAAACAAAAAAAAAAAAAAAGCATCTAAAAAAATGAGAAAGAATGTCAAACATAAACAAAACAAATCGCACTCTATTTTTCTACTATTTTGGAAAATTCCTCCTTTAGACGGACAGGCCCGACTTAATCGTACAGCGTAGAGGCTGTGTCAGCCGCGGGAACTCAAAACTGGGTCGCACCGGCAATGGCAAAGTCCAGCACCAGATTCGACCAAATCGGCAGCCGCACCGCTACCATCAGCGGCGCACGGGTCCCGAATTGAAAAGACAGACAGGGGTTCATCTTGAGCGCAGTCCGGGCCAAGGTCATCAGGTCACCAAGGGTCGACTGCATTCCACAAAAATGCTTGATCGTAAGCAGCGTCGACCGCGCGATCGCTGCAGACAGTCGGGGCGGGCAAGACTTTTTCCAGGCAGGTGCCCACTCCTTGTGAGCAGGATGCACGCGGCTGCCGTGAGAGCATCTGCCATTGCCTGGTGTGTCTGGCAAGCTAGACTTAGGTCGGGCATGTCCCCCTACAGGCGGATTTTGCACGAAAAGATAATAAACAAATGCCCAAAAGTGCCCCAAAATGTCAGAAAAATCCGGCTATTGTTTGATTCGATTTGATGGTTCTCCTGTAGAAGGACACGCCCGACTTAACGGCAAGCTAAACATCGGTCGAACTGCTCCACGCGACGCCGAAAACCTGACGGGAGGGAGAGAGGGAGGGAGGGAGGACTGGCGGCGCGCACAACGGGGCAAGGGAACGGAGGGAGGGCTTCGTCGAAGGCGGCTGCTCCTTAGAAGGCGACGGCCTTACAGTGGAGGCCCGACCACAAGAAACCTTCCACAGGAAACCCAACCCTGAGACCCAAGGACGTCCCCTGTTTTTTGGTGTGGGAACGTCACGCTTTCCACGGCAAAACTATCGAAGCCCAAGCATCCCTGGGCAACCTGGAGGCAAGCAGGATGCTTCCTGGCATGCGCCCAAGTGCATCGACGAGGCCGCGCCTTCTGAGAGGCAGGGTGCTTCTGAGCAGCCCCCCCCCCTCCCCCCACTCCCCCTCTGCGCGTGGCTGACAGGAGGAATCAGGAGGAGGAGGAAGCGGGAGGAGGAGGGAGGAGGAGGAGGAGAGAGAGGAGGAAGGAGGAGAAGGAGAGGGAGGAGGAGGAGGAGGAGGAGAAGGAGGAGGGAGGAGGAGGGAGGAGGAAGAAGGAAGGAGGGAGGAGGGAGGAGGGAGGAGGAGGGAAGAGGAGGAGGTAGGAGGGGCGCGAGAAAGATCAAGGCTCCGGCGAGGGTCGAGGGCGGGCCAGGGCGAGCACCCCCCTTGCCCCCCGCGAAGGGGGGGGGGGCGCCTCGCCGCTGCTCAGCAGCGAGGCCGAGGACGGCTCGGCCGCGAACCACAGCGCGATGTCCACGAAGTCCGCCTGACTCGGGGGCGCACTTACAGGTCGGTCGGCAGAAGTGGGTAGAAACACGAAGTAGGAGGGCGGAGAAAGTGGATTGGGTCCAGGCCCTCCCAGAGAACCACAGAACACAGCAAAATCGTGCCGATTCTTGAAGTAGGAAGGCACTTGAAGTAGATTGGGATCTGGGAATCCAAAAATACATACTTTCAACGACCGGCGTGTAGAGTCAAGTCGGGCGTGTCCCCCTGCAGGGGGATCTGCGACGAAAGACAGAAGCTGCTCAAGAGATGCTCCCAACATGGTCAAGAAATGCTGTGAACAATCGTCCCCAGACAATTTTTTTGACTAGTTTTGAAGATTCCCCCTGTAGAGGGACAGGCCCGACTTAAACTTAGAGGGCAGAAAATCCACCCCGATGAGAATCACCCCGACACGCGAAGCCGATTCGTAAACGCGCCCCCTGCAGGGCTGCTTCGTAAACGCCCAGGGCCGTTTCGTAAACGCCAATTCTCGGGTCCGGGTGGTTTTTTCCCTTGAGCACTGGCCCGGGTCAATCCAGACCTGGGCCAGTCGGGCTTTGCAAGATCCTGCAGGATGCTGCACCCAAGCCCGGGTCAGTGCACCCCTGGCTCTGCAGGGTCCTGCAAGGTCAGGCGCTCTGACTGACTGAGGGGGCCCAGGGACACACAAGTAAATACACACAAATCCCAGGATTCCCCACATTTTTCAATATTTGGGGGATGCTCGCCTTCCCCCCCACTTCCCATATGTTCCACATGTTCTGGGGAATCGACGATTGACTGTGTCTGTGTGTGCTTTTTAGCGGAAGAGGTTCGCTCTCGCCCCGCCGACCAAAAACTGTGCCTGTGTGCTCTTGCTCCCCTCCTCACTGACCCCCGGTGGCACTCACCCCCGTCTCTTCCCTGACCTTCCAGAGAGCTATTTTTTAGCACGGGAGGCCTAAAAACCTAAAAAACGAAACGAGACAGCCTAAAACTAGGACGTAGAATAGCTCTGGGATAAGTTTTTAAGTCGCGTCCTATGTTTTAGCTCTCCTGGAAGGTCAGGGTTGCGCCTCGCGCGGGGCAGGGCCGGCGCCCCTGCAGGGGATCGGGAGGCGCGCGCGCCTCCCATGGCGCGCTGGCCCCCCCTTTTCCCGGGAGGACCGGGCACAGGCCGCAACAGACGCACGACGATTCAGGACACGCGCAGCGTTGGAAGAGGCAGGAGAGGCACGAGGAAAAGCGCATGGACCAGTGCTGCGGAGCACGATCCACATGCGGGCCCGGCGAAAGGGGGGGATAGCAGGGGGGGGGGGGGGGAAATCAGCTCACGCAGCTGATTTTCCCGGCGCCTCCCGGCGCCAGGAGGCGCCCATGCATCGAGGAATGGGCCCGGCGGCGGGGCCGAAACCAGCTGCACGCAGCAAATCTCGTACCCCCCCCCCCTCTTTCCCTATCCCCCCCTTTCGTCCGGCCCGACCGAAACATGCGCGGGATGACTCAGGGCAGACGCAGAGCTGGAAGAGGCAGGAGAGGCAGGAGGGGAGCAAGTGGGTCAACGGTGTGGAAAAGCGCGGGTTAAAACAGGGTTAGGATCGGGATAAATCGCTCCAAAGCGTTCCGCAGCGCTCTCAGAGCGTTCCGGAGCGCTCTGGAGCGGCCGCGGCGGCCAATACATCCTCCAAACCCGCCGATTCTCAGAGATTTCGAGTCATCCCGATCCGATTTTGTCCCGATCTTCGCGTCGTTTCAGTGCGACCCGTCGCCTCCAGGAGGACTGCACACTGCACGCGCGCGCCCCGCGCTCCGCGCCGGGCTGCATAGAGCCCACGGCTCCGCGCGCGGGGCGACGACCGGGGGCGGCCGGGGGGCTGGCTCGGGGGAGCCGTCTGGCCCTATCGTGCCCCCCCCTCCTCCTGCCTCCTCCTCCTCCTCCTCGATCCTCCTCCTCCTCCTCCTCCTCCTCCTCCTCCTCCTCCTCCTCCTCCTCCCTCCTCCTCCTCCTCCTCCTCCTCCTCCTCCTCCTCCTCCTCCTCCTCCTCCTCCTCCTCCCCTTGCCCCCCCTCCTCTTGCTCCTCCTCCTCCTCCTCCTCCTCCTCCTCCTCCTCCTCCTCGATTCTCCTCCTCGATGTGGGGGTCCCCTTCGGGCTCCTCCGTGCCTGAGGCTGCTGCCTCCCCTCCTGCCTAGCCTCCTCGAGGGGGAGCGCGCGCGGGGGGGGGGGAGGGGAGGAAGTTCCGCGGGGAATCGTCGACCTGGAGCCGGCAAGGTCCATCGCCGAGGAGCCGACCTCGGACCCCCGACGAAGAAGCCGCGCGGTCCTGGAAGGGGTGGGCTGTCGGGCCCCTGTCGGCGAGCACTGGGCAGGCGGCGGCCGCTGCACCCCCAGCGGAGCAGGTTCCCCCCGAACGTTCCCCCTACCGTCGGGGCGTTGGCCCAAGGAACTCCAAATCAGGAACGGGGCCCCTTTCTCCCACAAATGGAATTTCGATTTCCCATGGAAAAAACCTCAGGAAAACCGGAGACAAACTGCAGAACAATCAAGGCACACCGAGCCCCTCCCCAACGAAAAGGGTTCCTTCTTCGGGGCCCCGACTGTAGTCGAGAAAGGGGGCGCAGTCGAGGAAAAGGGGACGGCTGGCGCTCCGGTGCCGCAAGACAAGTGCGCGGGATTGCGCTCCGTCTCCAGGCGCGTTGGCGAGTGGCGCGCTGGCCTACGAAAGCATCCACTCGTCAATATGATCGCGAGTAGTCGTATCGTTATTGCTCTTTTTCTTCGTCACACATGTCACGATCGTGGTTTTTAACCATCAGTGTGGCATTTTTGTTGTCAGAATCCAGCTCGGCAGTCCGATCTCCAAGGGGGGAGGGGAAGGGAGGGAGGTCGGCTTCGTTCGACTCGACTTCAGGCGTGACTGCGCTGAGGTGTCGTCGAAAACGTCTGGCCTGTGAGGCCTGCCGCGCCGATCGCAACTGGGACGGGCGGGGGCGGGCAGGCGCGAGAGAGGGAAAAGGAGGAGGAGGGGGAGGAGGACCTTATTGGATCGCCTTTCCAGGGGGGGAGGAGGAAGAAAAGGACCTTATGAGGAGGAGGAGGAGGAGGAGGAGGAGGAGGAGGAGGAGGAGGAAAAGGAGGAGGAGAAGGAGGAGGAAACGAAGGCGAAGGAGGAGAAGAAGGAGGAGGAGAAGGAGGAGAAAGAGGAGGAAGAAAAGGGGCAGCACGAGAGGGAAAGGAGAAGGAGGAGGAGGAGAAAGAGGAGAAGAAGAAAGGTAAAGAAGGAGGAGGAAACGGAGAAGGAGAAGGAGGAGGAGGAGGACGAGGACCAGTGCAAAACGAGAGGCATTTTCGACGTTGGAATAAACCATAAGAAACTCCCTCATCATTGGTCCCTGCAACGGCTCATTTCCACTGAAGGAACTGCCTCGTGGGAACACAACCGTTGAAGCCCCTGAAGCAAAACATTGTTCTCGGGATTCCAACGCCAAAGATCAACCTGACTGTTGCGTCTTGACGATCGTGAATCATGTCAAGACGCCATCGCTGGGACGCAACTGCTGCACCATCATGACCCTGAACCCGTCAAAGAACACAATTTCTGATTCGCCGATAATGGGATTTAATGAACTCTTGCATTTGTAATTGTTGAAATGAATTATGTAGTATATCTACAATGCGCGGCGCTAGGGCGAGAGCCAAATATTGAAAAGGAACCGCCCACAACCTGCGAAACGTTTGTTGTTTTTGTGTACAAATATAACCCGTTGCTTTAATATATATATATATATATATATATATATATATATATATATATATATAATGTAAATGTAAATGCGCGCGGCGCTACGGCGAGAGCCACAGTTTGAAAACGGGCCGCCCTCAACCCGTGAAACTCTTGCAACTGCTCAAACACGAATGTGCGCGGCGCTAGTGCGAGAGCCACATGATGGAAACGGGCCGCCCTCAATCCAAAAAAAGCTTGTACATGTGCGAAACGAATGCACGCGGCGCTGAAGGCGAGTGCCACACGATGAAAACGGGCCACCCTCCATCCAAGAAGCGCTCGCAAAGTGCGCAAGACGAATGCGCGCGGCGCTGGGGCGAGAGCCACATGAGGAAAACGGGCCACCCCCCATCCTGGAAGCGCTTGCAAACGCGCAACACGAATGCGCGCGGCAATCAGGCGAAAGCCACACTTTGAAGACGGCCCGCCCTCCACGCGTGAAACCGCCGCCAATGTTAGAGCCTCAGGGCCCCGCCGCCCCGCCCTGAAAACTGGCCTCCGGGTGAGACAGGGAAAAGTTATATACCAGACGAGAATGGAAGAGGAGCCGAGCGTGCCGAGGCGCTCTGTCTTGCCCCCGCCGCCTCGCCAGCCGCGCGCCCCCACGCGCTGCCGCACAACGGCCCCCGCGCCTAGCCCCCACTCACAGGGGCGCTCGCGGGCGGGGAGCAGGCCGCAGCGGCCGCTCGGGGTACGTGATTTCGACGGAGTGGATGCGCAGCGGCCCCATGGACTCCGCCAGCACGGGGGAGCGAAGCACGCTGCACACGGGGCGGGCAGCGCATCGTCCACGAGGCTCGCAGCGCCGCCCGCGCCGCCGAGCGCAGGGTCTCCGCGTGGACGTCGTTCTCCATGCGGGGCGCGTGGTAGGTGCCGCACGCGACAACCACCCGCTCGATGTTCTCGTTGCTATAGTCCAGCAGCGCGGGGTTTGCCAGCGCCTCGGCTTGGGCGGTAGATCTGGTTGCTGCCGCAACAGCAGCAGCCAGCGGGCCACGCGTCAGGTAGCGTTTCGCTCTGTCTGGAAGATGAAGGGCCTGCGTCCGCACTCATAGTTGATCCTGCTCGGCGTCAGCCACGAAAAAGACCGAATCCTCATCCATGTCGCAGCCCACGACGGCGGCAGCTTGCCCATGGCGATGTTCACCCGATCGAGCACCTCAAGGTCGTTCACGAGGATGTCCTCGAGGTCGGGCAGCTCGGCCTCGATCCGCTCCATCAAGAACGAGCCAACCTCGTCCGCGCCCAGCGCGTGCCCATCCGCTGGACTCGGGCAGGCTTGCCTGCAGCGAGTGACGCCCTCGCGGCCTCGAGGGCAGGGGCCGGCCACGTGGGCGGGCAGTAGCGGTGGCCCGTCTCCGCGGACACGATCTGTTGGAACGTCTCGACGAAGGACGGCGCTTTCCACCAGGGCGGCGAAATGCTGGGCGGCCCAAGCCGCGCCAAACAGGGCCTGGTCATCTCCGCACTGGTCGAGGCCCTGGTGGAGGCGCTCGCGAATCTCAGTGAACTCGTGGAAAGTGGACGTAGCAGCTCGGACGAGCGCGGCAATCAGCGCGAGCTGCATGGACCTTGGAGCGCGCACACCCCAATCTCGTAGCCTCGGTCAGTCCTTGCCCCTGAACGCACCATTGGGGAACCTCAAGATGAAGGCATTGACTCAGTTCTCGACTGTGAAGGACTCGTGGGGCAACATCACAGACTGGGCTAAGTAGCTGAGGATTGGGAGGGCACGACTGCAGAGCAACTGGGCGGATCCCGTGGAAGGAGCGCCGCTGGCAGTGCACATCTCGGCACGCCAGCGGAACTTCTGGAAGGCCTACTCGTAGATCAAGCACTCGGTCGCCCCAGGCCCCAGGAGAAGACCAAGGTTGGTCAAGCGGTCACAAATGTTGAACTCCTGGAAGCGGGGGGGCGATCACGGCCAGGGCTGCGCGCAGCTTGTTCACGAGCTCGTCATCGACAGGGCCCGCGAGCGGGACGATGTGGCACTTGGCGAGCTTCGGCACGAGGCCCGCGAGGTCTTCCACGAGAACCATCACCCCCTCCAGGCGCGCGAGATGGATGACCGCAGCAAGCACCAGCCCGAGGTCATCAGCACAGGCGCGGCACGGCCCGCAGCCCCTGTGCTCGAGCTTCTGCCCCAGGCCGAGGAGGAAGCAGGAGGTGCCCATCGCGTAGAGGGCGCCACTCCACCCAGACCCCTGGACGACGCCCGAGCGGATGCAGGAAGAGCGGCACGCACGAGCCCGCGCACGGGGCCATCGCGAGGATGTTGCAGCACACCAAGTCGAAGAAATTCAGGGCAGCTTCAGGCGCGCCCATCACCGTCAGCGCGGGGCGGACGAAGTGGCGCGCGAAGCTCGGGATGGCCTGCGCTACGTCCAGCGACCTCAACACGGGCAGGTTGGTCATGGCGTTGGCGTCGGCGGACGCGGCGCGGCTCTCGACGTCCAGCTCTAGGATGTTGTAGCCGCAGCTGCGGCGGTGGATGATGCCAGGCTGCGATGCCGGGACCACGCCGGCAGCCACCGCGGCCATCGCAGCGCTCATCGCGCTGCTGATGATCTCGAGGGAGGTGTTCCGCAGACCCAGGACTCGGACTTTAGATGGGTCGCGGCGGCAGCCGATGTGCTCAGCGTCGTCTGGTTCTTCCCCTCTTGGGAAAAATGCCTGCACCGTCGCGTTGGCTTCGTCGGGGAGGGGGCCGCCGCTGGGCATCCCAGTCATGACCTGCCAGAGGGCCTCAGTGCACTTCTCACGCGCGGGCCACGCGACGTTGGGGGGCCCGTCCATGCCAGGAGAAGTGGAAGATGACATGTACGCAAACCTCTTGCGCGCGTCGTAATCGGGGGGGGGGCATCTGTTGAAGTCGATCTTGGGCGCGCAGCGGTCGAGGTAGTGCTCCGCCGCCACGGCGTCCACCATCTTGCCATGGAAGACGGGCTGTCAATGCTCCATCAGCTGCTGTAATCTCTCAGTCGGTCCCGCCACCGCCCCCGTAGCAGTCTTCGCACTGATGAGCACCAATCGTTTGCCGATCGGGCTCCAATGCAGAATTTTGCGGCGCAATGCTCGGGCATGAGGAAGGCGCCCTCGCTGTCGTGCCAGATGATGGCTGCCTGCGGTTGGTCAGCGTCTTGGCGGCAGAGGGCGCCGGCCCACTCCTCGAACGCGGCAGGGTCGACGAGCTTGATCTGGTCACTGCCGATGTCAAGGATGTCTTGCGCTTTAATATGAACGCGAGGGAGTCTGGCCGCCAGTGCGCGATCCTGGCGCCAGACCGCACGGGTCAGCGACAGGGCCTGCTGGAGCTGGACATCCCCCTGCCATTGATGTCATTCGCGAATGCGGTCTCGGGTAGCACGCGCAACTTCTCGAAGGAGTCCCGCATCATGTGGCAATCTAGCTGGCGGGGAGAGCTTGTCGAGGTCAGCGCGGGAGAACACCCTCTCCGCCAGCTGCTTGAAGATGGGCGACATGAAGATGCACTGGGCGATCGGCTTGTTCTTCTCGGCCCTGAGGTCGCGCATGGCGAAGGACACGAGAACTGCGGCGCGGTCGCTGACCCGTCGGCGGGACAGCTGCTCGGGAGCGGAGAAGGCGGCGGAGGCAACGGCGAGCTGGATCATCTGGGAGGGCGCGATCGAGCAGAAGCAGCGGTCCACGGTCGACTCCGCCAACGTCTCCGCACAGAAGTGGGTGGCGTCAGCGCCTTCGATCTCCACCAGGTGCTTGAGCGCTCCACGCCGCTTGCGCGCCGATGTTTTGGATGTCTCGCTGGCGCCGGGCTCCGCGAGCTTCAGCTTCCCGACGGCGGCGAAGCTGAAGTCCCCGATGCTGACAAGCACGGTTTTGCTCGGGCCGGCCTTCGCAAGGTGCATGTGGCTGTTGATCTTGGCCGAGATGCGACTGACCGCCGCATTGTTGATCTCGTAGCTGTGGTTGTCGTACAAGATTAGCCCCTGGTTGTCGGCCTGGAAGACAGCGCGCAAGAAACGCCCAGGGAGAAGGGGCTCGCTCACCGCATTGAGACCCGAGGGGAAGACTGTAGCTACACCGCCACTGATTTCCCCATGGTGACCTGGCGCGATGGAAGAGTGCATGGAGAGATTGGCGCTGATCTTCCGCATGAAGGCGAAGGAGGGGCTGGGCGCGGTTCTGGCGGGCCCCCTGGACGCCGAGGATAATCCTGTCGATGGGGGGGCGGAGCGCAGGTAGGAAGACTTATCCACCACTCGGCGCCCATGGTAGCTGAGGGGACCTCGCGCATTCCATGCCCCCACCACCAAACTCGGGGAAGGGCCTCCCGGCGCGCGCTTCAAACCTTTGGCAGTCTTGTCAAAGCCAAAACTGGGGGGCAGCCTCGGGCGCAACCACATCGTCGATGGCGCCATTTATCTTTGTGCGGGTCGTGCCCAGAGCGGGGAGGCCCGTTTCCTGGCAGGCGATCGGCGTAGCTTCATCACGTCTGGGATGCACTGTAAAAGAGAAAACGGGAGACCAGTTGGCCGAGATCCAGCCCTTGGCGCGGTCGACTCCCCAGGTGCGGTTAGGGAAGGCCCGCTCCAAGGCCTGGCGGACGCGCTTGCCGACAATCTCAGACTTGATTTTCTTGGGGGACTTGTCTGGCCCCACCCGCAGCTCAACAGGCCCATTGCCTGCGATAGCTGGGGCACGGATGCGGGGCCAACTGCCACGACGATTGCGGACGCAGTCCAAGGCTTCCTGAACTCGGCGAGCGGCGGGCCCAGGGAGGCCCGCGAACTGAACCGTGAAGTATCTGGAGGCGTCTTGGCATTGACCAGACCGCCAGCATGCACTTTGAAGATAGCGAGGCCCACGTCTCTGTCGAAGTCGCGGCCCGCGAAGTTGTCCTGCATCGGTTGCTCGTTGGCCACCTCGAGAGCTTTCTAGAGCGCCGCGATCTGGTCAGAAATCTTAGAGATGGCCTTGTCGGTCTGGTCCTAGCGGCTCTCGACGTCACCCACGCGCTGGGTGGAGGCGCCGAACTGTTGCTGAAAGGACTTGCGGGTGGCGTCGATCTGCTGGCCCACGGCGAGGCCGACTTCTTGTTCGATCTTGTTTGAGAGGCCGTTGACGCCAGCTTGGGCCGCGGCGACGGCAGCAGAGACGGGGCCCGCGGCCGCGCCCATCGCCGAGGAGACTGAAGCATTGAGGGCGCCCCTGATGGCCGATTCTATGGAGTCGAGCTTGTCTTTGAGGGGCTGGACATAGGTCACGGCGGCGAAACTGTCGAGAGCGGCCTCATCATTGAACGGTGGAGTCCTCGAGCGATCACTCCGCCCACCAGGGGGATCAGCATCAGCATGTCCCTTGCGCTTCTGGATGCCACTGCGTCGGAGCGCCCCATCTGCGACCGCGGCTGAGGGAGAAGCGCCCGCCGCCATGAGAGAACAAAACTGGGGGTACGCACAATGAACGGGACACCCATGTCCGGAGTATGCTCGCACGCAGTCCGTGGACAAACGGCCCCCCTTCGGCCGGGGGGCTGACAGCCTCCAAAGGTCAGCATCTTGAGCCAAAATGGCCACGGGAGGAATGGAGGAGGAGGAGGAGGAGAAGGAGGAGGAGGAAAGAGAAAAACGAGAAGGAGGAGGAGGAGGAGGAAGGAAAAAAAGGAGGTGGAGGAGGAGGAAAAGGAGGAGGAGGCGGAAAAGGAGGAGGAGGAGGAGAAGGAGGAGGGAGAGGACAAGGGGAAGGAGGGGGAGGAGAAGGAGGACAAGACGGACAAGGGAAAATAAGAAGGAAAAGGAGAAGGAGAAGAAGGACGAGGAAAAGAAAGAGCAGAAGGAGGATGGAGGAGGATGAAGAGGAGGAGGAGGAGAACGAGAAGGAGGAGGAGGAGTATATATAAGGAGCGATCGCAATGACCAACGACGACAGCATTAGGGCACAAGCGGAGGGCCGGGAGGAGCGGCAGCAGGCGGGGGCGGGGGCAGGGGGGCGGGGCGGCGCCTGGCGACCACGGCGCTGGCGCCGCGGTTGACCACCGCCCGTCGGGCGGGCGCGGGTCCCGCGCTCGCCGCTCTGTCTCCCCCCACACCCCGCTCTCTCCGCTCAAGCCGCCCCCTCCCACACGCTCTACTGCCCGGCGCCAGGCCTCGACTGACCCTGGACAGATTCTGGGCCCCCGCTTTCGAGAGCCGACCTGAACAAAGGCCGGCTGAATCACGCAGGGATTCCACAGAATAGCACCCGCGCAATAAGCACCACAAGGGATTCTCCTCTGGCCAAAAAACGATATGGCGACTCTGGTCCACCTCCCGCGATCGAAAACAATCCTACCCACCGGTCTGAATCCGCCCGCGGGTGCATGGGGTGGCCAAAAAACGAGAGACATCCCTGCCCGTGGCTCTGCAGGCAGACTGAGAACACTGGGAAAAATCTCCACGATTATGAAGACATCCGTGGGCCGTGCAGGGGGCCGCTCGGCGGAGCCTACCCGCCGCCGACCTCCTGATACACGCCTTCGGAGGGCGGGGGGGCCTCTTACCTCCACGCTCCAAAAACACCATGACACTCAGGAGGTGGCACAGAACCTTATACGTGATGCCGTCGGCCCAACCCACCGCTGCCCTCGAGGCATACGGGAGCTGGACATCAGCACGGCACTCCTCAGCGATCGAGTCGGCGATCGCATTAGCAATGACGTGGCCAGGGCTGAGCCCCGTCCTGACAGCCTCCCGAAGATCTAGATGGGACGGAACCTGACGCAGCAACAAATCCTTGGGGGCGCACAAATTGGCCACACGGTCCCAGAGATCGCGGCGGGACCGAATTCCCCTCACACAATCTCCAGAGACTCGGGAAACCCCGCGCGCAACGTACGCGGAATCAGTAACATAACCAACCGTGGCCCCGTTGGGAGTAACTTCTAAAAACCTAACAACCCCGATTCACACTCTGCTTGCCAGGCACTCCGCCGCCTGCAGTGAAGGCCACGCTTGCAGCGCCACCCTGATTGGGGAGAGCACCCAGGCTGTGGTTAAACACCGCGACGCCCCACGAGACCCTTCGAATCCTCTTGCCCCTGGTGAACTTCCCCCCACTAGCGTCTCCCGCTCCCCAAATGCGATTCCCCACCAAGAACAGGGATGGCACCCGAAGGGACCTCGAGAGGCTGGTCGGGGGGGCTCAGGCACCCGAGTCCACGAGGAGGGGGCGAGGCGGCGGAGCCACAAAATCTGAGAAACTTCAGAATCAGCAACAGCACGGCGAATAAAGGCCTCCGAAAGCTCAGAAAGTTCAGAGTTGCACGGACACTCCCAAAAGCGATGCAGGTCCATCTCTGGGCCCCGCCGACACCGCGGGCACATGTCATCGCATTCGCCTCCCGAGGCCAAGATACGTGAGCGCGCCCACACGGCACCAACCAAAACAGCCCTAAGAAGCCCCTCTTGTTTTCGGGCCGTTCCTGCGCAGCCCCGCGAGGTGGCCCCTCGCGACTGCGAAATCCACCCCTTCGGCTCCTCCCGCTCCATTTCGGAACTGCGAGGCTGAAGCCCAGAGCCGAAGGGCGATCGAATTCGAGACTTCTTGGCGAAAGCCGTCGGTCATATGGGCCTGAGACCTCATCTCGTCGGACAGAGCAAACTCCCCCCACCCCCAGACGAGACCCACCTCCACGGCCCAACCAACCTCCACCCCAGCGCAAGCATAGTGGCGACCACTGCCGAGACGGGCCCGAACGTTGCGCCACCTTCGCGCTGGGCCCAGCGCGCTAATTCGGGCAACCGTGTCTTGCCAACATCTATGCATGCGGTCGAGAGCTCTGCAGGGAACCGCGGCAACAATCTGAAACCAAGATTCAATAATCAAAAAGACCGCGCTGAAGGCGGGGCCCTTCGGCCCCACTTCGGGGGCCAGGAGGGTAGTGAGGCACCTCCCAACCAGACCCCGCGTTA